GAATAAAGAAACAAGAAAACAAGAAACCATCTTTGTTATTCTGACGTGCAATCATTTACTCAAGAACAAAATCTTCTTGGGACCATACATGTATGCACAAGATTGCACAGCAATTCATCCAATAGATTGCCAAACTGACATATTTTAGTACTGCAACAATATGCACATATTCACCTGCTCACTGGTGGACATTATGGAGAGTAATTAAATGCTGTGCTTGGGTTTAGTCATTCGATATCTGTGAAGGAACAATTGGAAAATTGAACCAAATTCATTTTCTATGTTGATACAAGAACAGCTGCTATTACTCATTATTTTAAATCTGCAGCATCTGTATTAAATATAAACGGTTTAAAGATCAAACCTTTATTAGGGATGCATCGGGAACAATAGGAAAACATTTGACTTATTCATCACTTGCTCCATTTTAGACTTCTTTTAATAAAGCACAGATTAGTATACTTTTACCCCTCTGAACACATGGCTTGTACATCACCACAATACTATCCAAAATATTATTGTGGATATTTCTAGCCTTAGGCCACTTGAATGAATGATTAGAATATTTCCTCCTCCTGGTGTGTTATTCTATGGTGACTGCAAGCCCTCTAAACGTGAGCATATTCCAGCTCATAGCACCATGCACAGTCACTACTGAGGTGTTCTGTTGCACTTAATAACTCAGCTTCGGTGTGGAGGTTGGCCAAGAGCCAAAGTGTGTATTCTGAGTCAGGTCCAGCTGTGCATTTCTTTCTGTGGATAACAGTTCATACCCCTTAGTTAATACCCATACAGAATGGGTTCACTGGTGCAGGCAGGAAACAATTCATTGCTCTCACGTCTTTATTGAAAATATGGACAAACTGCAAGCCGCGACTTTCACACATGGATGTGAAAGAGATGTGAAGCAGGCCTCACACATCGCAGCTGCAGGATGTGTGTCAGTCTGCCTGTGTGTATAAGGCTGTCTGAAATCGACCATGTGATCCCCTTTGTCTGCATTAGGCCGTACACACCATGTGCAATAGCAGATTTATTCCCCTACCTGGTCAAGGCTTGGCTTTCCACACACTTAGTGAGGAGTCACTGGGGCACATCGTGTTCTCCAGCAGCCCCTCAATCCAGACAGGCCAGGCCAGCACAGCCAAAGATCAGCCACAGGCCCCTCTTGTACTGCAGGCCATTGCACAAAACATCCAAATACAGTCGTTCTGTGGCTCAGACACCACATCCTCCCCCTTCAGCAGAGGTGAGGAGAACGCAGAAGATTTACATAATCACAGACTGACCAGCCACCTCTATGCTGACTTTGAAAATAAGCAAAGGATACACATGCCAAAGCAAACACAGGAATAGACCCTTTACTGGGAGTGAAATTAATTTGCAAGCTTCCACATCTGACAACTAAAATTGATTAGAACACTTAAATCAAAGGAAAAGTTCAACATTTTTCATCATAGTTCATCATCGTCACTTTTTTTGTATGGATTAAAAAAAAAAAAGAAACGCTATAAGCTAAGTGCATTTTGGAGGGGCTGGTACTGTAGCTGCTGTTCCCTTTGGACAGATCCAGTGGAGCTGGTTACCTTTGTTTCAAGTCTTTAACAGTCATGAGAGTGATCCTCATCTAACTCAACAACAAAAGTGAAACATTTTTCCAAAAACTAAGAGGGCGCCCTTTGATCAAAAGACTAACTTGAATTCACCATTCAAGTTTGAATTTATTATATTCACCAAAGAGGTTATTGTTTATGGTCCTGCTAGCTGTATACATAGCCATATTTTAGCAAGAAAAAGTGTGATTGGCACAAACTGAGCATACAGATGGACAGAGGAGAAATGGATTATGCTGCAAGAGTAGTTTGAGATGTTTATGTGGGCGTTTTAGTTCACCATTTAACTGGGATGCTGTTTGAATCCACTGTAACTGCTCTGAATGAACAGCTATTTTCCCACATAAAGGCGCAAGCTACACATTTTCAGAGCCACTTATCAAGCCTAGAGTTGTTACAGTTTGATATGTTCAAAATGTACTCATATTAAGCAGAATATTTATTTAAGAGAAGATGCAGTTTCATGAAGTTTCATGGTTTTTAAAAGACTTTTGAGTCATAAATGAGGAGTAGGCTTCACGCTCTAGACTCGCATTAGTCAAGGATAAATAATAAAGAGCAAAGTGGTCCTATTTCACAGACTTTTAGGTGAGAGCATCCTTGCCCAAATGTGGCAAAGGATATTAAACAACAACAAGATCCCTTTTGCTTCAAGCTGTAATTCTTTTTTTCCACTGGATTATCAGTTCCTGCTGTCACGAAAGATCAGGGGCAGATTGTCAATAAGAGCACACTCTGACGCACTGTGTGCCCTCCAACACAGCCTTGTTGAAGGCTAAGCACTTAGGAAGAGACTGTGTTTGTGTCCGAACAGGCCAATCTGTGCCCACGACCAAGGTGGAAATGCAATCAAGAACCAGGGAGGGAGTGGGCAGAATGTCCAAGCGTCCTTTAGGGGATCTTATCTCATCTCATCACAAGCAGAAACTTCCAGTCACAGAGCGAGCTTCAGCAGGGCCACCTAATCTCAACCAAAGCCCGGGTGACCTTCTGCAGCCAAGGCTGTAGGCAGGGGAACAGGCAGCTGGATTTCAGCCTCCTCCACAAAAGTCCTCACTTGACCATGGAGGTGATGGGTTACCAACAGCTGGATAAACTGATGCGAAGAGATGGGTTTCACAGCCCCTCAAACTTTGGTTTTACTGGGCTATCCTGCGAATGATCGTTTACACGGCAAATTATTCTATTTGTTAAGAAAGAAAACAAATGACAATGTAAAAAATATTACAAAATAAACAAAAGCATATGAAAATCTTTTCTGGTGCCAGATCTTGTCAGTTGACTGTATTTATGAACCACTGTTTGGTCCATTGCTACCAGTGGAAGGGTCTCTTGAGAGCAAGTGAAAATAAGAATTAGACAGCCAGTCTCATGGGTTGTGACAGCTTGAACAGCAACTAAAATATGGTTAAGATTAGGGGTGTAAGAAAATATCAAAATGTCTTATCACAATATTTTATTTTGTGATATTGTATCAATTGTCAAGAACACACATGTTCTTTATACTGTGACAGTTCTTTATACTATGACAGTTTTTTATATCAAATCACAATATATCACTGCTGTATCATGATACGTATCGTATCACCAGATTCTTGTCAATACACAGCCCAAGTTAAGATTGTTTGATTTTCTGTTTGAAGTTTAAAAAAAACTGAAAAGGTTCTTTGTCGTTTATGCCGAAAATCCATCTGTTCCCATTAAAGGGCCACTAATAATCTTATCTGACAGAAGGTGAAGACAAAACCTAATTCAATTGTTGTTTTTTGCTCCCGATCTCCAGACCAACAGAAGTTTTTTTCACAAACAATTCTTTGTTTTGACTGGGGACTTTTTTTGTCTTCTTCATTTTAGAGTTAGATGCATAAATGTATGTCACAAGACATTTGTTAACTTGTTTTTTCCTCGTATATGAAACAAATCAGTCCATTTTTAATAACTGAGACTAGTTATTCACTGTGCAGGCACGGCATGCATGACCACACTATAATTAATAGCTGTTGTAATTTATCAGCTGGATTGCACTGTTTGCAGACAATAAAAAGCTACCTTGGTTTAAATAGTCTACTATGTTGAGCCTAATTTGCCTCATTGCATTGCATCCTTTACAATGTCCACAGTGAAACTGCTCAGCAATACATCATGTTTCAAAAAAACCTGACAAATCTCAAATGCAAAAGAAGCGCTGTAATGGCATCATCTCCTCAAAATGACATTGTGAGGAGTAAACATGGCAGATTACAACAAAAGACAAATCCTTCTCATTGTTCTGATTATAGGAATCTATCATTTAGGGTGGTGCAGTAAAGAACAAGCACAGCCACTGAAGCCAGAGAGTACTTTCTGTATTTTCCAGCTGATTCAGCACACTCACACACACTGTGTTTCTGTATATTTGGCCTAGGCAACGTTTAAGCCTACATCAGCAGCAGAATTGCAATGGCAAGTCTATACATGCCGCTTTTCACACTGCTGTGACTGAGGGGGATGGGAACTTGGGACAGGTTAAAATCCAGACGCAGCGTGTTCACAGGCCGTGGGGCCATGATTCATCTTAAAACTATGGCTAACTGCGAAGTCCTGCCATGAGACAAGCTGCATAACACCTGAAGACAGGGAGTGGTTTAGAAACCGACATTAACCTCAGAAACACTATCAGGAGACAGTTAAGAGAAGTGCTGAGAGTGTAAATGAATGCACTAAAGAGATATGCCCTTTACCTTTACCTATTAAATGAATAGCCATTTAAATGACTAACAAATCACCCTCAAGAAGGTTATTTTAATTGTAAATAAAATCTCAGTCATACCAGCATCTAAAACAGCAAAATTGACAGAAAATAAGAGAGTCTTGGAGAGTTATTGTGACTGACTAACACTGGCTCGCAATATCATTAGCTTAAAAAAAAACAGTAATTCAATCTGAGACAATCCTTCAATCAGTCAACAAGCCTCTAGTGCCGCCTGTTTGGTGAGAACACGTGGACAAACTTCACTTTTCCGCTCTAGTGTGACCAGTCCTTTCCTCCCTTGCTTTGGCCAACAAGCTTCCTCTAAGCAAAAGGGAAAATGACTGGCAGACATTATCAAAGTCAATGGTTAAAATAGAACAAACGAGGGAAGTGGAAATATCCAGTGTTAGGCTGTGCAATGAAATCATTATCTCTCACTGGACTATACAGACACACAAACCATACACAACTCAACAGCATGATTAAGATTTCAATAATTAATATACTGATAGTGAATAAGGGTTTAAAGGATTGCTGAAGACTTCACTATATACCACTGTGGAACAAAGTCTAATCTTAACTGTTTTTATTGAAGAGTAATTATGGGGGTAGAGAATATAACTCAAGTTTAGCTTCTTTTACTAAGGATGACTCACTTCTGCCGCAGTGTTGTCTGGTCCCTCTGGAGCATGTCCTCTCAGGTTGATGATGTGGACCTCCTGAGGGAGGCTGGTGGTGCCCCTGCTTGCACAGCCTGACAGGGCGGTGAAGCTCTTCAACATGGCCTGCACCGGGTGTCCCATCCCCACCGGCAGCAGCTCGCATGGGCTGCGAAACAAAGGCCCTGCAGGTGAAAAAAAGAATACTGTATGAATTAGGGCTGCAACTGTTTTTTTCATTATCGATGAATCTGTCAATCATTTTTTCAATGAATCAATTTGTTCACTCTTCCCAAGCTGACGTCCTGAAATGTCTTGTTTTGTCCACAACCCAAAGATATTCAGTTTATTGTCAGAGGAGAGAGAGAGAGGACTAAAGAAAACCATAAGATATTTCACATTTGAGAAGGTGTAATATGAGTATTTGGACATTTCTTTTCTTAAAAAAAGTCTCAAAACTACTAACTGACTAATCAACTTATCATTGCAGCTTTAACATCAAACGTTACAGTCTTAACAAGGATTTCAAATGTCATGTTTCATTTTGTTAACCTACTTCATGTATGAGTGCTTTCTTTTAATGTACACGGTGATGTCCTACGACCATAATGATCTACAACAGAGTGCAGTTGTCTTCTTTTCGACATGCAGAACTTAAAAAATACAACCTTTAATGTTTCCGAGAAAATAAATCCTCATTCTAAAAAGCAACTACTACCAACAAATTGTACATAAACAATAATTCAGTAAATGCACTTTTTCTACGAGTTCTCTATAATGTAGGTGTTTCCTCTACACAATGTAGCGTCACTCAGTCCGACCATCTCTAGAGTGAGTAACGTGTGAGACATATAATTAACACACAGCATTCCAATTATAATTCCCTTAAGGTAATTTGAACTGTTTTTATTTCTCTTGAATGGTCAAATATAACCTTCTTTAATCACTTAGGAGAAGAACCAGACATAAACTTTAATGTGCGCTCTCTCTCGTAAAGCCTGTAACTAAACATTAGCTGTGGACTTCACTAGTTGCCTTGGAGATGTGACAAGCTCCTGGACAATCTGAGGTGAAAAACCTGTAAGCATGGTCGACAGTAATGATCCACTTCACACTGTCCAACCTTCTATAAGTCGTACTGCAAAGGGCAACTCACTGAACAACCCAAACCACGGAAGCAGGCATATTTGAGTGGCATCACAAAACTTCACAAATGAGGAAATCACCGTTGCAAAGGGTTCTTATAAGGTCACGTCAGACATAGGGTTTTCCCCCTTAGCTCTCAATGGGAAAGCCATATTTGATATTCTTAGACTTCGAGACTTCTTCTTTGACTGACAGATTTCACTCTATATTGTGAGTCACACTGAAAGTCAACGTACTCTTCTACTACATCTTATAAAGGAAATGCTTTCTTAGTTGCAACAAATGTCACAAGTACAAAGTCCTTTTCAGAGATAAGCCTTTCCACAGAGACAAGTAGTGAAATAAATAATTGATTCTAAGGTGAAGTGAGTAGTATTCAAATACCAAGGATGCCCAATATATCAGCTGCCAATATATTATTGTTGTTCTGATAATTTGGGCCAATATGTAAGTGTGGTAAGGTGGAGCCTTTTCTCTACTTTTCCTGTGACTGGATACTGCAAAAACAATAACCTGAATCTCTGACCACACTGCCAGTGGTCGAGTTGTTATGTGGGTAATGTAGGCGCCAGAGTTTGACAAGGAATAGAAATGGCTAAAAAAAAATATATATATATATTTAGTTTATATATTGAGGATTTTTTTTAATGTTATAAAAGTGTAATGTTTTATCAGTGCAGTAGTTTTAAGCGAAAAGGTGGTTCATGGCCTGAGCATGCCGTGAATTCATAACACGCAAGGGCCTGGCTTTCTATCATCCTCTTTACAGATAAGCATAACTTAAGTAACATAAGTCGAAAAGTCTGGATATAGCTCCATTATGATAACTACAACTTGACAAATTGTGAATGGGAAAATAAACAGGACAAACTAAAAAGTTAGCTTTTATTGTCTATAAAATTAATAATTTTGTACATTACAAGCAAAAAGGGGTATGGACGAACACTTCTTATCTCTCTTTAACTTTCCATTAGATGTTCCCATTTCAATCAGACATCACAGCAGTCACGACTACAAAAAAACAGTCACTGAGCCCGCTCAATCAAGCAAAGCAGCACTCAGCAGGGTGTGAGGACACTGAAGATCAGTCTGTTGGCTCTATATCTGTGTTTTGTCTACTGCACAGTCAGCTGTAATGTTAACAGTTCAGTGACCTGTCAATGTCTGGACTACTTGACTTTAACACAGATTCACTTATGTGTACAGGATTGTACTTGCTGTCTACGATTGCCCTTGCATAATGTGGAACTTCCTTTTCATCAGCCACAAGCTTTCAGGTGGTTAACAAGCTTCACCACAGCCTGAGATCTTCCTATGGTGCAAACCTCCTTTACATTTTTACATCTGCATGACCCACTTAAACACATCCACGGTGTAACTTGCACAAACGCAAGAGCACACCCATCTCACATGAGGGGTGGCACGAAAACGCAGCGCATTTGAGTCTGAGGTCTGAGTGAGGTACCAAACAGCTCTTTTCCATTAGAGAGTCGTGTATCCTATGACAGCTCCTGTGGCCAGGTTTTTTCTCAGGGTCAGACCTTGTGTTCTACCCTACAGCCTTGTGCCAGCCAAGGCTGTTCGCATTTCAAATACATCATGCTAAACACGCAAAGGTTGCCAAACGCAATCAGATGGAACATTTGGAAATCATTAAAGTTTAAGTGAGAGACAGTTAGATAACAATGTTAAATTCTCCCCAACTGACTCCATAGTGCCTCAGCAGTGGGGTACAGCCAGGGGGAAATCTTTTTCCTTTTTTTTGTTGTTGCTCAGAACACATAGCTATTGTTTTCTCTGTCTGTGCCGTCCAATAAGCCTATGTTAGTTCATCATAAAGCCAGAGACCATGTATGGCATAGCTCCCCTCTCCTTGTTGTGAGAAAAACACAGAGGCTTTATTGTTACCATACTTGTCTCTTGAGACAAACACCAAGCCCTTGACAGATGTCTCAACCTGGACTTTGTGCCGTCTCTTGCTGCTTGTGGATACACTTCAAGCCGAGAGACATATTGAGAGCATACATATATTAAAAAATGGCAAGGTCTTGCCATAGTGATAAAAGGACAAGGCTTAATGGTAAAAACCTGTGGTGCATCAGTATTTCAACCCCCGCCTAACCCCCCTCCTCCCTTTTCCTCCCAAAGGACCAAAGCATATTCCCTCTCTAACCATGTCATCAACTCTCACTCCCACAAACACGTCTGAGGGCACTCCAACTCACTTTTTCCCCTCACACATGGAGAATAACAAACAACTGCCAGACAAACAAAGAACAACGTAGTTCTTTCTGGGAGACTGCCAAAACATTACAATACATATTGGGCAATGATTTTAAAATTGCTTGGGAGAGAAAAGGGAGGCATGTTGGAAAAAAGGTCCATCATGGATAAAAAAAAGTTGGGCATTCAAAGCTTAATGGTATTGTTTTTGTAGAGCCTAAGAAATGTAATATAAGTCTGTCCAATACTTTGCACTAGAGGAAGAAACAAATACCAACAAAGCTTTTAAGACATTGTTTCCTATTCATTGTTCCCAGAAGATGATTCCTGGCAATTTTGGTGACCTCCCTGGCCTTTCATTTGCATTGGGCAAAATGTTCTCCTTGCCCAACACTTGAAACAAGGTATCTCCAAAATCAGAGGATGAATCATGTGCCAGGATTTCCACTTATACACAGGAGGTATCAGAATCTTACTGTCAATTTACTAAGCACATTCGTGGCCCTCAGAGGATGAACCCTTCATATTTTCAACACTTCAGGAACTGGAGGGCAAAATGTCAATTCAGCACACAGAATAGTACCATTGAGGACATTGTTACTGACAAGAGGGGAAAGAAAACAACACAAGCCCACTTTATGGGCTTATAGTAAGATAGAATGACCTATAAACCTTTTAAAGATACATAGCAGCAGACAAAGGCCTTCATCACTCATTCAGTTGTTCTACTAAGTTGAAACTGAGTTCTAAGCTCATCACATATGCTATTACCATCAGCCTACAGCCTACAGACTGTTTTTTGTCTTCTGTCACCTTGTCTGTCTGCCTCTCTCCTCCACTTCTGTTTCCTCGGTCATCCATGGAGTACAGAGTATGTCCTGTCCAGCTGCTACTAGTGCCTTTTAGCTGGCCAGGCCAAACGCCCACAGCGGAGGAATGAGAGAAGCTGTTGTTCAATGTGCCTGAAAAACATGTCCAGCCTGCGTCCACCAGACACTCTGCAAACTATACTACAAATACTGCCTTAACAGAAAACCTTAAAATCGAATTGTAAAGCTGATACTCCAGTTGTAACAGTAATCTCTAGAATGTATTAAATGTCTTCAGAGAGATGAGCGTATAAAAGATGAATGGCAGAGTGTAGTGTAATCCCAACTATATCCTAGAATTAAAAGGAAAAGGCGCCAGATCAGGACGTAACGTATGACGCACATTTTATTCATGAAAAGCTAAAACATATTTTTTTTCTGTGTGTAATAGCTATACATTTTTTATAATAAAAGGCCTACAACAATGATGAATGAAAGTGTTAAAAATTAAATCTTATTCATGTGATATAATTTTCGTCAAAGCCAAGAGGAGCCACAGGAGACAGGCTAAAGAGCTGCATATGAGCCCCAGGTTGCCTACTAGACCCTTTTGTAGTTTGTAGCTTACCACAGTGCTTTGGTACATCAGTAAATTACTGTGGTAAACTTAGTGTACAACTGGATTGTGGTAAATGTACAAACTATATCTCCAAACCTCAGGAAATTACATGAAAATGATCTATTACCAAAAGAGGTGCAGGCTAATTGTAGTGCATTTTTTGGGCTTAACAATTATTTTGAATACAGTGGAATAAAGTGGTGAGATGCTTCATTTCCCCAGGACCTGGCAAAAGATACTGTACGTTGCATGAATATGAATGATCCTGTACTTTCATTATACATACATCAATCTCAATCCATCCAACCGAGGCATATTGACCCTGCAGTAGCCCAGCCTACCCTACTTCTACACAGTCCTGACAATTCATGTTGTTAAAACACATGGA